TCTTTTTTTAACAATCCCTTTAAAGACCACGGGAAGCTCCATAAAAGAAGCAGGGAGTAAAGAGTTTGTTAAAGAGTAACATTATATTTAATATTAAAAATGTGCATTTAAAAATAGGCATGGGGGTCTTTACTGTATCACTAGCGAGGAATATTAAATAGAGCTGTTTGCACATCAGTTGGGTAGAAGGAATAGTTCTTATAGTTCTAACTTTGTTTCCAAAGACCGTGTGGTATTGGCAATAAAGATATTTCTACCCAGTGGTGGAAAATGAATATGGATCAAGATCCCATGCTTTCATTTAAACATTTCTCCTAATCAAATCCATATTTATTTAATCCTGTTTTGGTGATATAACCATGTAAATTTCATGATCTAAGAATTTCATAAATAAATTGCTATGACACAGTTTGCCTCATTTTGTGCACCACAGTATTAAGCAATGGTACTTCATTATAGTCACACATGTTTCTCACTTCTTTGCTTTGTAGCTTACATTTTCAGTATCTTCAGTTTGTGCAGTATCACTGCATTTCAATTTGTGATAACTGTTAGATAGATAGTTGAAGCTCTAAAAACACTGTTAACCTGTTAGTTATGTAATCTTTATACTTTAAAAAATAACCAAATTGTGAACTCATAGTTGTTATATTTTTCTGAAAAATTAACTTAGACAGATGTCAATTTCAATGCTGAATTTTTGCACACACCTAAGTATAAGAAAAGATAGGAGTTTATTTTATTCTGCTCTGAAACTCATAGCATGCCCGTCACCATGGTATCTGAGCTATTGAATTTACACTGAGAGACTACAAAAGTTGGTATTTTTATAAGGCTTTTTCATGTTTTCATGAGGAAAGGGTGTTACCACTAATATAGGATTTGGGCAAATCTCTTTACATGTTTCATAACTAATGGTCCCCAGTAAAGCTGCCATTAAATATTTCGCAGTCTGCAGATCTCTGTAGAATAGCTCTATGGGAAACTGTGCCCTCAACTAACCAAGTAAGCGTAATCATTTATCTTTGTGACAGAACAAAATAAAAAGGCATTTGGGGGGTTTATGTCAGGAGGCCTCAGTGGCAATGCAAAGTGACTGGAGCTAGTATGATATTACAGACAATAAAGCCTTTATGTAGTTCATTAGTTAGAGGTAGAATTATAATTCATTAGTCAAACACTTTAAATATATCTGTTATAAAAGCTAAACATAGATAAGATTTTTCTTTTGATACAGCCATAAAGGCCCAATCCTGCAGATATTTGTTACCTTTTGTGTAGTGATAAACACCATAAGTAGTTCTGTTAAAATCAGTAGGCTTATTCACAATTGTAAATACTGTTATTTGGTAAAAGCGGCGAGGAGTCCTGTGGCACCTTATAGACTAACTGAAGTGTTGGAACATAAGCTTTTGTGGGCAAAGACCCACTTTGTCAGATGTTATTTGGTAGTGTTTGCAGAATTGGGCTCAGTCCTAGTAAAATTGTAGTTATCTGTCATAATGATATAGCTTCAACAACCATGGTGTCTTCTCATCCTGTTGTTATCTAGATGTTGGTATAAAAATACTAGCTTATGGAATTAAGTACTATAAGCTCTGATGTGGTTTTTTTTAAGTCTTTAATAGCTAGATAATCACATTTACAAAATCAATATCTTTCCATTTTAATTTTTCAAACCTTGTCCAAGTTGTTAAGACTATAAATATTTACTGATAGTAGACCAAACTCTGCCCTTACAACTTACCCAAATTTTACTCGTAGTTTTATGAGAGTCTTGCCTTTTGCAAGAAGGTTGTTAATTTCTGGGATCTCAAATGACTGTTGGGAGCAGTCATGGAGAACAAGCCAACTAGTTACAGTACTAGAAATGTAGTAAAGTTTCCACTTGTATACAGATACCAAAATAATTTGCTCTTCATTGTCATTCTGACCTTGTAGCGCCCAGCAAAGGGTAGTAACCTGGGGTGAGGAATGGCTGCTTTGTGTTGCACTGCCAAGGATTATATGCTGTAAAGTGGACATATCCTGCTCTAGTAGGATTGGCCCAGGGCGTAGGTGGGGCTGTATTATTCCAGTGGCATAAAGCCAGGATAGAGGTACCAATATTACTATTTCACCGTTTTTATACTAGATGTAGAGTAAAATAATTGTATACTTTATATGTAGCAATTTTTGTTGGAGTTTAGGTTCGGAGAGCTAACATGAACCTTAAAGTGCTATGAATTTGCATTTAATTTCATAAACTTGCTGAGCAGAGATATCAGCACTGAAGTCAATAGGGTATGTCTAGACTACATGGCTCCATCGATGGAGCCATGTAATGCAGGGATTTAAATAATCCCCGCTTCATTGAAATAAACATGGCCGCCGCGTTGTGCAGATGATCAGCTGATCCAGCACAGCGCGGCAGTCTAGACGCGGATCTGTTGGCTAGGGAAGCCTTTGTTGACTGATCCTGTAAACCTCGTTTCACGAGGCATAAGGGATCAGGCGGCAAAGGCTTACCCAGCCAACAGATCCGTGTCTAGACTGCCGTGCTGTGCCAGATCAGCTGATAGTCGGCACAGCGTGACAGCCATGTTTATTTTAATGAAGCGGGGATTATTTAAATCCCAGCTTCTTTGCCTATGCTGGGTAAACTAGTTTACATGGCTCCATCGATCCATCGACGGAGCCATGTAGTCTAGACATACCCCAGGAGTTTTGACATTTACTTTAGTGGGCATTGAGTCAGGCCTTTAGTATATATGGAGAGTTAATTTTGCAAGATTAGTAACATGCTTCAAATGCCTAGGTTTAGAGATATCTTTTCAGTTGTATTGTACTAGCTCTGATAGCATTTAATGAAACTATCTCATAGACTCATAGACTTTAAGGTCAGAAGGGACCATTATGATCATCTAGTCTGACCTCCTGCACAGTGCAGGCCATAGAATCTCACCCACCCCTCCCAGAATAATCCTCTCACTTATATCTCAGATATCGAAGCCTTCAAATACTTTGAAGACCCCAAGATGCAGAGAATCCTCTAGCTGTGATCTGTACCCCATGCTACAGAGGAAGGCGAAAAACCTCCAGGGCCTCTGCCAATCTACCCTGGAGGAAAATTCCTTCCCGACCCCAAATATGGCGATCAGCTAAACCCTGAGCATGTGGGCAAGACTCATCAGCCAGACACCCAGAAAGTTCTCTATAGTAACTCCTATCATCCCTCCATTGACCTATTTCCACTGATAATTAATGGACAATTAGTTACCAAGATCATGTTATCTCATCAAACCATCCCCTTCATAAACCCATCTAGTTTAATCTTGAAACCAGATAGATCTTTTGCCCCCACTACTTCCCTTGGAAGGCCATTCCAGA